GGTGACCAATGAGCTAAGATAAGGCGGGGATTTGCCTAGAAGGGATTTATAGATTACCTGGAGCCAGTGGGTTTGGCGACAAATATGTAGTGAGGGCCAGCCAATGAGAGCGTACAGGTCACAATGGTGGGTAGTATATGGGGCTTTGGTGACAAAACGGATGGCACTGTGATAGACTACATCCAATTTGCTGAGTAGAGTGTTGGAAGCTATTTTGTAAATGACATCGCCGAAGTCAAGGATCGGTAGGATAGTCAGATTTACGAGGGCATGTTTAGCAGCATGAGTGAAGGAGGCTTTGTTGCGAAATAGGAAGCCGATTCTAGATTTAACTTTGGATTGGAGATGCTTAATGTGAGTCTGGAAGGAGAGTTTACAGTCTAACCAGACACCTAGGTATTTGTAGTTGTCCACATATTCTAAATCAGAGCCGCCGAGAGTAGTGATTCTAGTCGGGCAGGCGGGTGCAAGCAGCGTTCGATTGAAGAGCATGCATTTAGTTTTACTAGCGTTTAAGAGCAGTTGGAGGCCACGGAAGGAGTGTTGTATGACATTGAAGCTCGTTTGGAGGTTTGTTAACACAGTGTCCAATGAAGGGCAAGATGTATACAAAATGGTGTCGTCTGCGTAGAGGTGGATCTGAGAGTCACCAGCAGCAAGAGCAACATCATTGATATACACAGAGAATAGAGTTGGCCCGAGAATTGAACCCTGTGGCACCCCCATAGAGACTGCCAGAGGTCCAGACAACATGCCCTCCGATTTGACACATTGAACTCTATCTGAGAAGTAGTTGGTGAACCAGGCGAGGCAGTCATTTGAGAAACCAAGGCTATTTAGTCTGCCAATAAGAATGCGGTGATTGACAGAGTCAAAAGCCTTGGCCAGGTCAATGAAGACGGCTGCACAGTACTGTCTTTTATCGATCGCGGTTATTATATCCTTTAGGACCTTGAGCGTGGCTGAGGTACACCCATGACCAGCTCGGAAACCAGAGAAGGTACGGTGGGATTCTAAATGGTCGGTGATCTGTTTGTTAACTTGGCTTTCAAATACTTTCGAAAGGCAGGGCAGGATGGATATAGGTCTGTAACAGTTTGGATCTAGAGTGTCACCCCCTTTGAAGAGGGGGATGACCGCGGCAGCTTTCCAATCTTGGGGATAGGGCTTGCGACAATTTTGGCGGCTAATTTTAGAAAGAAAGGGTCCAGATTGTCTAGCCCAGCTGATTTGTAGGGGTCCAGAATTTTTTTTTGGGGGGGGGCATGGGCAAGTTGCAGCGGAGGGTGTATAAGAGCATGGCTGGAGCAAAAGCATGCATTCCCCATTAGTTCTGTAGGAGGAGGGTTGGGCCTTGCCTGGCTACCCAAACTCCTTGCTCCGGCCAAACGCTACACCACGCTATGCCCACGGACGTTTGTTTCTTACATTTTACATATTTAGCAGACACTCTTATCCAGAGCGACTTACAGTTAGTGAATGCATACATGTTTTTTTTTTTTTTTTTTTTTCATACTGGCCCCCCGTGGGAAACGAACCCACATCCCTGCCGGCCAAACCCTCCCCTACCTTGGATGACGCTGGACCAATTGTGCACTGCCCATGGGTCTCCCAGTCGTGGCCGGCTGCGACAGAGCCTGGACTCGAACCAGGATCTCTAGTGGCACTGCGATGCAGTGCCTTAGATCACTGCACCACTCGGGAGTTCTTCTCTGCAATGAGTTGGGATCTGAGTACTTCCCTGACGATTTCTAGAACATAAACACATTCTAACGGTTCTGATTGGTTCCAGAAACCGATGGGTTTGGCCAGAGCCAGAACACGCGTGGTTAAAGTGGCGTTTTGAAAATGCCTCAATACTCTGATTGGTTAGAGATGATCCAATCGCTGAGGACTTTGTTTTGTACAACACCTCTCATTTGCCTAGTCACTTTACCCCTACCTATATGTACATAGCTACCTCAATTACCTCATACCCCTGCACATCGACTCGGTACTGGTACTCCCTGTATATAGCCATGCTATATTTACTTGTTATGGTTATTCGTTATTTCTGTGTATTTATTCCTCTTGTCACTATTTCTATTTTTTATTGTATTTTTTATCTTTATCTTTAACTCTGCATTGTTGGAAAATGACCCATAAGTAGCCTAAGCAGTTCACTGTTGTTTACAAGGCATTTTGACATCACCACAAGACTTAAATGATGGCAGTCTCAGACTGAACTCTTATATGCTCTGTCCACCACTAGTATCCAGTGGGTGGCAGGCTTGAGTCATTGTTGCCTCTGTAGGTCTATATTCAATTACTATTCTGTGTTTCAATTAATGGAGTTTCTAAATGTTTAATTTCCTATGTAGCCTAACATGTTGAAAAGTAACTCAAATTATATTTGATCTTTAGTTTTATGAATGCATGTGTAATGCCACTACATCAATAAATACACAAATAGGCCACATTACATAAGTGCAACTTTCGTGACTACACATTGAATCAGTGTTATGATTCATACGGACTTACACATGGAGACAGGATGTTTGTGGGTATGACGGTGTTAAAATTACAGTAAGGAAGGTGCGCTGACTGACTGGTTCACTAGCCTAAATAGGAAGGTTACCTGTTCTTCTCCCTCACACCCATTCCAAATTATAGTTAGCCTTCTATAAGTAAACAAGACTATAAAATACGTGTACAGTCTACACCACATGATAGTTTCGTGAGTAGGCTAATACAGGCAGGAGAACTTCATGCTACTGAGACATTTTACAAGGCAAGGCTGAAACTTCAGTTGCCGTTAATAAGTAGGGTTATTTTGTGAACGTGGACTGGACAAAGCTATTTCCTTACCTGTGTGAACGGGGCGGGTACCTGAGCGAACGGGACAGCAGACCGCACCACACACAACAGAAGAAGAAGAAAAAAGAAACTCGATTTCAGAGAAGGAATATTAATAAAAATACTTTGATCAAGGTGAGTTTTCTATCTTACATGTGTTCTGTTAAAGTCAATATGGGTTTAGCGTGCTACCTGCGATGAAAGCGTGAGAATAGAAATTGTAGCCTATACACCTGGCTGAGGTTCGGGTTTTATCCGCGATGGGTTGCGGCTCTATTTGCAGTTGGTAAAGTTGTAGCTTTGTAGGCCTACATGCAGTGGGCTAGTATACAGTCAATACTGTAGCTCTACATAACACATTTGCTATGGCATATGCTAATCTACTAGGGGGCTCTCATTATGGTCTAAAAAGTGGGGTAATTTGAGACATTTTTACATTCAGCATCACTCCCTCAAGGGAAATTTGACTTGGTAAAAATCTTTTTTTTGGACCTAACTTGTTGACAACTTTTTCCATGAAATGATGACCTCTTCCTAAATATTTGGTCAAATTAAAATTTGATGTATGGTTTCCTAGAAACAAGGGTGGCTCAACTTACCCCTTTGGTTCAACTTACCTCACTCTCCTCTAACTTATAAATCTATATTATAGTCATGTTTTTTTAAATTAATATTTCACCATAGAGGAGTCTCAGAACATTTTTATGAGAGCTAGAGATGGTTATTTTCTTCCAGATTTCCTCATGTGAATAAAAATAATAATAATTTATAGCAGCAAAAACAAACATGGAATCTTGGTTCTCTACTGCCCTTGATTTGTGTTTTCATGTGTGAAGTAGTCTACACTGTATCTCATTCGGTGTTTTGAATACTGTAGGATACTGTAGCCTAGAGCGTCTGCTAAATGATGTTAATAAATAAATAAAAAACTATTGATTGACTTTCCCAGGTCCTGGCTATAAATGCAAACAGTGTTTTTCCATCACGCTTTGCTCTGTGTTTATGCTCCATATTTTTGTCCTGGTGGTCTATTTATTAATGCGTGCTGCACAGTAGGCCTATGATGGCTGTCTCTCTGTGAGGGTATGAATGTACACCACACCCTCTCTGTACCCTGCAGACACTAGTATTGACAGGTTCAGACCCCACATCTATGTGAAGTGGGTGAGAGGATCCCGATGACACATTGTGAACACTATTAACTCTATAATAAATATCCACAATAACTTTTGTAGTATCAACGCTTTAACAAGTATCAACCATAAAACCATAGGCTATTTTTAAACTTTAAATACATTTTTCAAAACACTTAGCAAAAGTCCCTCTCTATAGCTGTCAAGCCGGCATACTTTAGGTATTCATACCATCTAAAGATAAATAATGGGACAGGTATTTCTACTTAGCCCTGGGCGACATAATCTGACTGAGAATCTGAGTGGCTCGGTATGTTTCTGCCATTGTTCTGTGTGTGTGTGTCCCATTGTTTACCAGGAATTAAGACAGGGATGAGAGAGAGAGAGAGAGAGAGAGAGAGAGAGAGCGAGAGAGAGAGAGAGAGAGAGAGAGAGAGAGAGAGAGAGAGAGGGACGGATCTAGGTTGTGTGGTTATTTTGCATGCTCTCTCCTGCGCCAGATTCGTGTCCCTGCTCGTCACACATTCCATGGATGGAACCCATAGTCCTCCCTCCTTCCCTATCTCCTCTTCTTCTCCCTTGGTTCCTCTCTACCACTCATTCATGGAGTGGGAGATATGTGTGTGTGGATGGGGGGTGGCTTACTTTAGTCTTAGAAAACATCTAACTTGCAGAGTCTCTCTCTCCCGCCTCTCTTTCTTCATTACTCTATGTCCAAGAAGTGTATTTTGCTCTATCCCCCTCTCTCTAACCTCCTCTCTTTCTTTCTTCCTCTTTGATCTCATCTGTTTGCAGAAGCACTTCAGAACAACTTTAATTACATGTAGTGCAGTAGTGTTTTTTTCTCCTCCAGACCAGCTGTGGCAGACATTCTACTAGGAAACCAAAGTGTTTTACTGTAGGTAACGCTGTTTTGCTTTACCTCTGGCAGTAGCCGAATGGTTTCTACACATGGATCTATGTGTGAATGGATGTTTTATTCATAAATGTAGAACCACCTCAGACACTGCTTTCAGTCAGCCAGTACAGCAGATGACATGTCCTTTCATTCACTGACCTGTCTTCAGTCAGTGTTTTGGGGAAGCCACAGCAGGATCAGTCGCTCAATCATATTTTCATTCATTCAGCACTTTTCACCAATACATTTGCTATGAAGTCCTTTATCTCTCTCCTAACCTCCCTCTCTCCCCTCCTCTCCAGGCAGGGCCATGTTATCCACGGCGGAGTATGGCAAAACGTCGTGGGAGCTGTCAGTCCAGGTGAACCAGAGAGATGGAGATGAGGGCATGAGGTTTAAACTCAGAGTCAAGGGAGACCTGCACATCGGAGGACTCATGCTCAAACTGGTGGAGAAGATCAGTGAGTCCTCTCTCTCTCGCTCTCTCTCTCTACTATATCGCCTCTAGAGCTCTCTCTGCGCTGTCGATAAGCTATATCTCAGGCTCTACTCGGCGAGCAGAGAGACTTCTCTATCATAGAGAGCGTGCCTGATCTATAATCTCTCTTCTATGCTCTCCTATGCTAGCTCTCTCTCTCTCTATCTCTCTCCTCTGCTCGCTCTCTCTCTCTCTCTCTCTCTCTCTCTTCTATCTCTCTCTCTCTCTCTCTCTCAGCCACAATACTAGACTGGAGAACACACCCTGGTTTTCCCTACATTCCTCTAGACTGCTGAGTAGTATTATTTTCACAAAATGCTCCAGCACCACAGCCTGAAAGGCTGAAGTTCACCACTTTATCTCATATTTATTCACCTGGGAGGAATCTCCAAAGACCCTATTCCCTGTGTATTGCACTACCTTTGACGGTTATTATGTTTACAAAATAAGTGCACTCTATGGGGAATAGGGTGTGATTAAAGACACAGCCTGTGTTCATCCAGGAGGATTAGACATTAGGGACTTCCCCAATGGAAGACAGTATGAAAGTGGCAAGGTGTGTTGTGTTTGTTACAGCAGAGTTAAGTAACCGTATGACTACATGTATATAAATAAGCCATATATGACTCAGTGGCCAGTCATCAGATTGGACTAACAGTGGTCTGGGTTTAGCCATAACGCCACAACATGATATCTTACAGAATCACGCCACACCCATCTGCTTCCTGTGGGGACTTTTTATGCCTGCTGCAGGTGGTTTGTTTGGAGAGAACTTATGGGCAGAAGCTTTCTCATATAGTCAGAAACCTACACATGCTCCATGCTGAAATTGTCAAGTTCTTAGACAGTTGAATATCAATTTTAATTGTGGATGAAAGATAAAATGATACATGTTTAATGGCAATGTTTGTACTTTGAGAAAATTCTGTCCTTTTATCCAACCATAACCCCTCTCTTTCTCTTTCTTTCCCTCCTCTCCCTCTCTCCGCCAGAGGCCCCTCAGGACTGGTCAGACCATGCTCTGTGGTGGGAGCAGAGGAGCTGTTGGCTGCTGAAGACCCACTGGACCCTGGACAAGTATGGTGTCCAGGCAGATGCTGACCTGAGCTACACCCCCCAGCACAAACCCCTGTGCCTGCAACTGCCCAACATGAAAACGGTCAAACTCACTGTCAGCTACTCTGCCGTCGTCTTCAAGACCGTCGCTGAGATCTGCAGAGCGCTCAGTGAGTACCCTACCCGGGCAATAGTGCAGATCTGAAAGGATTAGATCAGTGTCTAATATGGTGAAGTTCCCAATACGGGAAATGTTCGCCATATTGTTCATACTTCTCCAGTCCTCTCACATCTTCACCAGGGCTGAGGGGGTTAGGGGCTAGGGGAAAGGACCTATGGGGTGGGGGTTTAAATCTAGATATAAGGATATAGAGGTCTAGGATCTAGGAGTCAGATAGGGTGCAGTGCCTCTCCTTGACCTGGTCTTCCTTTTTCCAGGCATCAGGAGGCCATAGGAGAGGGTAGGGGTTAGGGTGTAGAGTCTAGTGGTAGGATCTCTCCTTGATGTCCTCACTCTCCTCCAGACATCAGGAGGCCAGAGGAGCTGTCCCTGCTGAAGCCTCCAGATGACCCGTCCAAGAAGAAGAAGAAGAAAGACAAGAACCCAGCACTGGACGACATCTTAGACATGGACATCATCAGCGGAGGCTCTGGGGGAACAGGTGAGAGTCACAGTGTTATTAGCGTGTTATAAGCATATTAATACAATGTTAATGATATGTTATTAGATATACTGTATCTTCAATGGTCAGATTCTTCCAATCTGTTTTCATGTGACGATTTTTCAACTAAGTTAGCCAGTTAGCCATATCCTGGTGACAGCCTGTTTCTTCTTTAGCCAACCCCTTTGTTGTCGTCTCTCTGTCAATATAGCTTTGTTGAATCATAGAAACCTTCAGGCGCCCAGGCTAAGTTATCCTCATTGAGAAGTTAGCCTGGCTCGAACTCTACTCATATTGCGATGGTCAGCTTCAATCACGCTGTGAAGGGATTTAATATATCACCATGGCAACACAGTCAAGGTTGGCTAGTTACTGACACCACTACCAGATTCCGCCCACATGGTGGCGTCATGGCTTCTGTAGACTTCTGAAACAATCCAAGAAGGAATGGAGAATGGAGAATTCTATAGTGCTTCTGAAGATCTAAAAGAATACAGCAATCATTAAGGAAATCTGAAAGAATAGTAGCTATAGTGCGCTGCTATGTTCTCAAGGCTTTCATTAACGCATACTTTGAAATGCAGACACACACACTTTCTGTGTGAGTGTACAGTAGCTACAGTATAGGGCAGCTGAGGATTCCACACCAACTCATAAAACCAGCCTCATTTTGACAGTTGCTCTGAACCGTTTCAAATGAATTATTTCTGAGTTGAAGGCTCTGCTGCTTTTAAACAAATGAAGACAGGGCCATTTCGCCCATAATCCTCTCATTTCCCATGAGGCCTCACTCATGGGGCCGTATTTGTTCATAAAGTGTGTCAGAGTAGGAGTGCTGGTCTAGGATCAGGTCCCACTGATATAATCTTATTCATTATGGTCTAAAAGGCTAAACTGATTCTAGATCAGCATTCTCACTCAGAGCCTTTATGAATATGGGCCCTGAGTTGTATCTCCTCCTCCACCTGACCCCTCCAGGCAGTCCCCTGTACAGTAAGACCATGGTGCCCACCTACGACCCAGAGAACGGGACTCCTGCCTCGGCCACCAGCCTGTGGTTTGGGGACAACCCCCTGACCTCCAGCCAGCCCAACCTGCCCCCTGCGGAGCTGGCCAAGATGTACCAGCAGCTGTCCATGGTGGATAAAGCCATCATTAATGCAGGGTGAGAGTTACTCAGAAACAAAAACTCCATTGGAAGGAAGAAACCTTGAAAGGAACCAGACTCTATGGCTGGACAGGTAGAAAATATGCTAGTTGTTGCGACGCTGGAGGGCAGTACTCTGTCTCTCCCCTGAGCACATAACTTCCTGGTTAACTGTGACATGCTGCTGATGTGATTGACAGGTGGCTGGACTCCTCCCGCTCCTTGATGGAACAGGGCATCGGAGAAGATGACAGACTGCAGCTACGCTTCAAATACCACTGCTTCTTCGACCTCAACCCAAAGGTTACTCTAACCCCTGACCCTAACCCTAAGTGGGAGTTTGAATACCACTGAACCACAACCCTGTGGTGAGACAAACTGTAACCATAACCCCACGCCTAACCCTAACATTGACTGATTTGTGTGTGTTTCAGTATGATGCTGTGAGGATAACCCAGCTGTATGAGCAGGCTCGCTGGTCCATCCTACTGGAGGAGATCGACTGCACTGAGGAGGAGATGCTAATGTTCGCCTCCTTACAGGTAGACAAACACATGCACACACTCACACACATACAAGCTCACATCTGCCCACACGCACGTCGCACATTCAAACACACACACACACACACACACTCACACACTGTTATCCATCTGGGAGAACCAGTTTGGTGTCTCATTCCCAGAGGAGGCATGTTGGGACAGGAGGACAATCCCATAGGAGAGAGTGAGGAAAGGAGGGGCCTGAACTCCTCTGGGTGAGAAAATATGAGAAAATATAAATAACAAAGAACGATGAAGCGGAAAACTTATGACTACTTACATTTCAAATGTTCTTCATCTCTGACTTTGAAAACATTTAAAATGTTTTACATTTTAGTCATTTAGCAGACGCTCTTATCCAGAGCGACTTACAGTAATGAGTGCATACATTTTCATATGTTTCTTTTCTCCATATTCTAAGCTGATCTATAAAAATTGTTGTGAAATCCCTGAGATGGTTATTGCTCTCACCTGCATAATTACTGGAATCACATGGCTCTCTCTGTCTCCTCCCAGTCTTGTGTCATCATCTGGCCTCAAGTGTTGAACTAAAATCTGTTTTTTAAACAGCTAAAGGCTGGGTATATTTAGTTTTTCAAAGTGGTCTGTTAGTTTTGTACCCTTCTTATCTATTGTGTATTGTAAAATCTCCTGTTGCTCTTAGTATGATATATCCCCCAATTCCCATCATTCACTGATTATTATTAATGATTATGTCACTATTTGTTTCAGTATCACATATGCAAGATGACCATGTCCACGGAACCTCTGGACTTCTCCAATGAACCAGAGATGGATGAAGTAGAGGCTGCCCTATCCAATCTAGAGGTCACACTTGAAGGAGGAAATGCAGACAGAATACTGGTAAGTGTAGTTTTTATACATATAAAGGATTCATATTCTTTACATATAAATGATAAAGAAGTGTGTATGTAATTTGTTTGCTACAGTTTGTTTTCAACAGTTTCAGAGGGTTCAACACCTGTATTTAAGCAGGGGTTGATGGGTAGTCTGCTTAGATTGCATGTTTCAACATGATGATGTCACTAAGTCACAGGATAATTGACAGTTGTTTGTTCCCGCCCCCCAGGAAGACATCACAGACGTTCCGAAACTGGCAGACTCCCTCAAGCTGTTCAGGTAAATCCTGAGGGCCCCTGTATTCGCCCAGAAACACACAATGTATTGTATACTGTACCTCTATATCTGTGTAACAGATGGAAACATAAGTCAAAGAGACCTTGAATGATAAGTAGTAGAAATAAAATGCCATTTCACTTTCGATAAGGAAAGGTTCATGCCCTACACTGTATATAGCCTGGAGTCCATGGCACAGACAGTTCACACAGCAACATTGAATGTGCAACAGTGTGACTGTGTGGGGACACAACCTGTATATGTTTTTCCTCACAGAGCTTATTATTTTTTTGTAACCAGGCCTAAAAGACTGACGTTGCGTCCGTATAAGGAGTACTGGTTCGTGTTTAAAGATACCACTATCTCCTACTACAAGAACAAAGAGACAGCTAGTGGAGAGCCCATAGAACAGTTGCATCTCCGAGGATGTGAGGTGGTCCCTGACGTCAACGTGATGGACAAGAAGTTTGGAATCAAACTGTTGCTCCCAGTGGCTGATGGGATGAACGAGGTCTACATCCGTTGTGACAACGTAAGATGCTATTTCTTATTTAATATTTTAGTTTATTAAAGTTGGGGCACCACCAACATGACTCAGTTGTTCCCGCTACATATTGTATTAACATTTTTGTTTTTATCCAGGAGACGCAGTATTCCAAGTGGAAGGCAGCCTGTACCCTGGCCTCCAAGGGCAAGACCATGGCTTACAGCTCCTACAGGTCAGACTTGTTTTACCTAATACTTCACATGCCTTGGACCACATTAGTAGGGTTGTGACTGTAAACTGACCAGGAGAAACTGTGATTGGTCCAGGTCGGAGGTGAAGAACATCCAGTCGTTCCTGCAGATGAAAAGTCTGGCGCCCCCTCCTGGTCAGGCTGCTCCAGACTTGGATGCCATGGAGATGAACGCTGAGTGCTTTGTCTCCCCCAGATACGCCAAGAAGTACAAGACCAAACAGGTGGGTGTCTATCTGCAATATAGAGGGATCAATCATGATTCAGTGTTTGTGACAGAGAGAGGATGTCACCAGAGCTCTCCAGAGAAAGAGTTTATGATCTCTGACAGGACTCAAGTGACACAATAATACGCATCTGTTGACACCCAAACCATTCTATTCCATTCACTCACCCTTTCAGTATTTGTTAGATGACTGACATAATGTCTGTGTAAAGTAGCCTAAATGTCCCTTTTCTGTCTCCTGTCTCCTGTCCAGCTGACAGCGAGGATCCTAGAGGCCCATCAGAACATCGCCAGGCTCTCCCTCAATGAAGCTAAAATGCGCTTTATCCAGGCTTGGCAGTCCCTGCCTGAGTTTGGTATCAAATACTACATTGTCAGGTACGTAAATGTGACCGGCCAGGTTCAAACAGCTCAAGACTGTGTTCGCGAGATAAAGCCTAGGAGTTAGCTCAGGGAGGTAATGCAAGTCTTCAGGTCCCAGGCAAAGTTACTCATCACACAATCATGGTTCACAAAACCACCATGGTTACATAAAGACACTATGAATGTCTGTGTTTGTGTGTTCCAGGTTCCGAGGCAGTAAGAAGGATGAGCTGATGGGTATCTCCTATAACCGTCTGATCCGTATTGACATGTCCACTGGCCTGCCTGTCACCACCTGGAGGTTCGCCAACATGAGACAGTGGAATGTCAACTGGGAGATCAAACAGGTAAATGGCTCTAGATTGATTGATTGGTTCATTGATTAATTTAATTGATTGATTACTTTTTACAGATTGGAATGTAAAGGATAATAGTTGCCTTTGTAATAAGAGAAACCAGCTTCTCCTGAAATCAGTAATAATCCATGTCGTTTCATGTCTCCAGGTGGCCATAGAGTTTGACCAGAATGTGTCGATAGCCTTCTCCTGTGTGAGCTGTGACTGTAAGGTGGTCCATGAGTACATCGGAGGATACATCTTCCTCTCAACACGCTCCAAAGACCAGAATGAGACACTGGACGAGGAACTCTTCCACAAACTTACTGGAGGGCAGGAATGAACCCGGGACATCAGCTTTCATTTAGTGCCGTGGCGGTCAAACATGAGGATTTGTTACAAGCTGTGACTATCCATGCAGTCCAATGCAGTCAATCATTCATGTACTGAAGGCCTGTAAGAGCCAATCCAGTGTCAAGAAAGAATTTACATTTATTGTCGATATGGTTTTGTATGTTACATAAATTATATGTTCGTATTGTAAATGCAGAGACAAGTAGACGTCTTGGTCACACTACACTACATTTGATTCTGAGACCATCTCTACAAAATGTGTGGACAATCTCTACAAGGCTTATTTGTCTGATGGTTAGGCCTGGCCTACTGCTTTGGATGTGTAGTGTATTGGTCCATCTGCAGAGACTGCAATTCATTCGGCACATGGGCTGTACATCTTGTCACCTGTTTACCTTGGTGTAGCCCAAAACAAATCTCAGTGACAACCAGCAGACAGTGGTTGAAGAGGAGTATTTAGGTAGTTTTATCAACACCAAGTCTTTGAATTCAATGTTGTATGCTACTTTCACAATCACTCTATCGGGCTGTTCATTGCCCTATTTTATACATATTACTTTTATGATGTTTTATAATGTAACATTTGTCCAAGTCCAACAGAATTTCTAAGATATTTCTGGTGGTGGGTTATTATCACGTTGAACGAAACATTTGTTTACACTGGAATTTCTCTTGACTGAACTGCATTGAAATAAACTTGAGAAACATGTTTTGTATCTTGCATTGTCAAGTTAGTATCTCGAAATTTCGAGTTAGTCTCTTGAAAAGTCAAGTTAGTTTCTTGGAATGTTTAGTTAGTATCTCGACATTTGTAGATAGTATCGACATTTTTATTTAAATTCGTGGCGGGAATGAGCCTCCATATTATTCTAGAATTGATGGTTCTGACTAGGTGAAATACAGCTACGACTTTTTCGTAGCAGGTTAGGAGAATGAGGTTAAGGTTAAGGGAAAATGATCTCCTAATCTGCCATGAAAGCCACACTTCCGCTAGTAGCTATATTCCATCAAGTCACGAACAAAATTGACACCTATCGATATTTCTGAAGTCGATTTTCGCAATGTTTTCTCGACAACCTATCGGAAGCTAGAAAAACCTCGTACTCCTCTACCATTGGAGGATACGCTCTACGAACAGCAATGAGCCAATCAGAGTCGAGTACGGTGAGAGCGTGCTACAGCATCGACAAATCGTCCTGAATGCTAAGGAAATGCAGGCTAGCACGTGGGTAAATTCAATAGGCAATCTCTCCCAAAAATACTTGATTTCAGTACATTACTATTCTCTTTGGTGATTTAAAACTCATATTCTAGTGGGAGAAAAGTCGACTGTACTACTAAACTGGCTATTACGCTTTCTAATGGCGGATAATGGAGATAATGACTCTCAGCACAGAGTGAATGAAGGTGACTACGTAGTACTGAAACGGGGAGACATCTACAAAGCTGTGCAGATTCAAAAGAAAAAGTGAGTCCTTACATAACTGTGCACAAGCACAATCACATTATCTGTTGATTTGCGTTACCTAACAATGCTTCACAGTCAGGTCAAACCTTTGCCTGTACTATTGTTACTAGTTTGCAAGCTATGCTTTGTTCATTAGCATTGTCCAATTGCCATCGTTGCTTTCTAGCTAGCTAGCTAACTAGAAGTAGGATACTCAGCCGGGTAACTTGAACATTCATTTTGACATTTGTAGAAGATAATGGAATGTTGCCAACTTCAAGCTGGATCACATATTGGCAGTACTGCAGTTGTGTAGTCAGTATTGTGTATCATAGTGGACATTGTACGTTTATTGAGATGATCTGATGTCTTCTTCCCAACCCCAGGAAAACGGTATTTGAAAAGCAGTGGTTCTTCCTGGACAATGCAGTGGGGGAGTTTTACGGGACCACCTTTGAAGTTGTTACTGGTGGGACACTGCAGCCACGGAAACCTAAACATGTTGAGAGCTCTGCAGGTAGCTACATACCAACAACAACAATCTCCATTATTCTCTAATTCAGGTATGGATTCAGTTGTCCAGGTGCAGAGTTGATGTCTGTGTATTGTTTCTGTGTGTCTCTATAGATGCCAAGGAAGCAGGAACAGACAACAGGAACATTCTGGATGATGGGAAATCACAGAAACTCACCAGAGACGATATTGAGACCCTCAAAGAGCAAGGCTTGAAGGGACAGGTACATGCACCTCTAGATATACAGTACCAGTCAAAAGTTTGGACACACGTACTCATTCAAGGGTTTTTCTTAATGTTTTACTATTTTCTACATTGTGGAATAATAGTGAAGACATCAACTATGAAATAACACATATGGAATCATGTAGTAACCAAAAAAGTGTTAAACAAATCAAAATATATTTTAGATTCTTAAAAGTAGCCACCCTTTGCCTTTGACAGCTTTGCACACTCTTGGCATTCTCTCAGCTTTGCACACTCTTGGCATTCTCTCAACCAGCTTAATGAGGAATGCTTTTCCAACAGTCTTGAAGGAGTTCCCACATATGCTGAGCACTTGTTGGCTGCTTTTCCATCTCAATTTGGTTGAGGTTGGGTGATTGTGGAGGCCAGGTCATCTGATGCAGCACTCCATCACTCTCCTTCTTGGTCAAAGAGCCCTTACACAGCCTGGATTTGTTTTTGGGTCATTGTCCTGTTGAAAAACAAATGATAGTCCCACTAAGTGCAAATGAGATGGGATGGCGTATCGCTGCAGAATGCTGTGGTAGCCATGCTGGTTAAATGTGCCTTGAATTCTAAATAAATCACAGACAGTGTCACCAGCAAAGCACACCCACACCATCACACCACCTCCTCCATGCTTCACAGTGGGAAGCACACATGCGGAGATCATCCGTTCACCTACTCTGCGTCTCACAAATTTGGACTCATCAGACCAAAGGACAGATTTCCACCGGTCTAATGTCCATTGCTCGTGTTTCTTGGCCCAAGCAAGTCTCTTCTTCTTATTGGTGTTTTTTAGTAGTAGACGATCGCGCAGGTGAAGAAGCCGGAAGTGGAGATCCTGGGCTTGCGTGGTTACATGTGGTCTGCGGTTGTGAGGCCGGTTGGACATACTGCCAAATTCTCTAAAATGACGTTGGTAGAGAAAATAACATTCAATTCTCTGGCAACAGCTCTGGTGGACATTCCTGCAGTCAGCATGCCAATTGCACGCTCCCTCAACTTGAGACATCTGTGGCATTGTGTTGTGACAAAACTGCACATTTTAGAATGGCCTTTTATTGTCCCCAGCACAAGGTGCACCTGTGTAATGATCATGCCGTTTAATCAGCTTCTTAATATGCCACACCTGTCAGGTGGATGGATTATCTTGGCAAAGGAGAAATGCTCACTAACAGGGATATAAACAAATTTGTGTGCACAGAATTTGAGCGAAATAAGCTTTTTGTGCATATGGACAATTTCTGTGGTCTTTTATTTCAGCTAATGAAACATGGGACCAACACTTTACATGTTGCATTTATATTTTTGTTCAGTATAAGTTGAAGTTATTGTGAAAGTTTTCATTGGTTTTGTTTATGTTGAAGATGCTCCACTGACTTCACTTTCCCATCTCTCCTCTCCCTAGGAAATAGTCCAGCAGCTGATAGAGAACAGTACAACATTCAGGGATAAGACTGAGTTTGCACAGGAGAAATACATTAAGAAAAAAAAGAAAAAGTGAGTCAGCGGAATATAGGCCTGCACACTCCAGGACCAGGGTTAGTGATGAATGAAATAGTCTTGGTGAGTTCTGAATTTCTTGTGTTCTGTTCCCTCCAGGTATGAGAACAGTGTGACGGTTCTAAAGCCCTCCTGTCGTGTCTTGGCTATGATGTACCACAGCAGAGAACCAGGGAAGATATGGTGAGTGTAGCCACCATGCCAGCTAAGTCAAACCTAGGCCTATTTGTAGGGCCTGATGTTTTTCCTGGTGGTCAGAAAAACCTCTGGGCCCAAATTAAGTTTTTATTGAGATAAGTTCCTTACTGTATTGTATGTTGTTGTTGTAACCAAGACTGTGTCTCTGCCTCCCTCCTCCAGTCACATGCGGTATGACACCCTGGCCCAGATGTTGACTCTGGGGAACATCCATGCAGGCAGCAAGGTGCTGGTGTTTGAGACCTGCGCTGGACTGGTGCTGGGGGCCGTCATGGAGAGGATGGGAGGTAACTGGACTATAGAAATGTCTGGAAGTATCATGGATAGACCTGGCATGACCTGCATCTAAAATGGCACCATATTCCCTATATAGTGTAGTAGGTTTGAACAGAGCCTCAAAGGTAGTGGACTATATAGGGAATATGGTGCCATTTCGGACGCACACATGATGGCTTAGTTCTGCTTGATTTATGAATCATGTCTGCTCTGTGGCAAGCCGGTCTGTTCCCTGTCCCATGTTTACCATGCTCTGACTGCCATGTCAGCATTCAACATTTTATGTAGTACATTTCAATCGCAACGTCCTGTAACGAATGACATTTTTACATTACATTTTAGTCATTTAGCAGACGCTCTTATCCAGAGCAACTTACAGTTAGTGCATTCATCTTAAGATAGCTAGGTGGGACTAGAACTGTTGTGGTGACCGTATGCCACACCGGCAGTCATGAGTCATGACCGCAGTAAAATGCAGAAGAAATATTAGCCCACTGAGAGAAGCACGAGATTGAACTTCACTCAACTTTCAAGAGTTTTCCCTGTTAGTTAACACTATCAACGTTTCCCTTTACTGTGGCAATTGTGATCGAATCAACGCAATATTAGCCACTTTCAATGCAACATAACAAAACGAACTATGCAAGAAATGTTGTTGTAGGCAGAACGCATCAGAGTAGGATTCTACTTAGCCCGTACTCTACACAGACCAATCAGAGCTGCAGTAGGCCTACATGCAAATAGACCATTGCCATATATATTTACTTTGAACTGGACTGTTTACATTGAACTGGCCCCGTGTAGCTCAGTTGGTAGAGCATGG